GCCCCGTCAGTATCCTAGAGAGCTGGGTGTCCTCAGGGTGGGGGACCTTCTGAAGTTACCAAGTGGTGATGGAAATACACTTTGCAGCTACGCTGGGCCCCTTTACTGTATTCTGAATTAGAAGTGGGCACGAACCACATTTTTGCAGTTGGGTCCGATTCATAGTCCATCGCTGCACCACAAACCGAACCATGAACCGAACATGCTGGTCTGCGACCTGAACTGGTTCGTATCAGTTCACGAGCCATTTAAAGTTTAAACCCCTGCTTTCTGCTCCTCATTTTCACAGGGAGCAGAAAGCAGAGGTTTAAATGGCTCCCAGGCATTTAAACCAAACAGGCGAGTGGCGGGGAGCTCTGCTGTTTTTTGTGAGGAGCAGAAAGCAGGAGATTAAACCCAGGCTTTCTGCTTCTCACGAACTGCCGTGAACTACATCAAAGTTTATGAAAGTTCGTGATGGTTCTTCAGTTTGCGAACATTGCTTTGCGAACCGCGAACCGCCCAAAATTCATGATGAATTTTAGTTCGTCAGACAGTTTGTGCCCATCCCTCAGATTAATAATCCGAGTGTAGTGATTCCAAGTGCCCTCTGGCTATTGGCAGGGGGTTGGAAGGCTGGGTTTCCAACTCCAGGCTGGAAAATTCCTGGAGATTTGGGGATGGAGCCTGGGGAGGATAGGGACCTCAGTGGGGTCCAATGCCCTATAGAGTCCCCCCTCCAAAGCATCCATTTTTCCCCAGAGGAACTGATCTCTGTAGTCTGGAGATGAGCTGTAATTCCAGAAAATCCCCAGGCCCCACCTGGAGACCGGCATCTCTAGTGAGCCCTGGCGTGGAAAACTGATGCCATATTGGAACACTGGCACGCATTCAAGCCCGGGTCAGCCATACCAGTGTGGTGTGAAAGCCAGCATGGCGTAATGGTGGGATGGATCAGAGAGTCCCGAGTTCAAATGCCGGCTCAGCCATTCAGCTCACCTAGGGTTGGCCTCTGTCCCTTCTCACCTAATAACCTACCTCACAGACTTGTTGTAAGGGGTAAAAAGAGGGAGGAAGACTCACCGTTGCCCTCCGGAGCTCCTCAGAAGAATGACAGCACCGTTAAGAGAGGCTTCTGATGTGCAACCCCTCTGCCGCCAGCCATCTTTAGAGGACAAGGGGCCTGCAGTGGCACCTCTGGGTGAAAGCCAGGACTGGGTCTCGTTCTCTGTGGCCTTCTGCAAAGACCTCCCTGGAGCGGAGAGGATCCGGGCCCCGCAGAGGAGCCCAGCAACAGCCAAAGACCATCCTCTGTCTGGCTGTCGTTCGTTCTCTGCAGGTAAGAGAGGTCAAGGCAGCTGCTGAAAACCTACAGGTGAGGCCTGTGGTAGATTGCCCTCACGGCTTCACCTTCAATTGAAGGTGCGCACATCTGTTTGGTGTCGTGGTTAAGTGCGCAGACTCTAATCTGGGAGAACCGGGTTTGATTCCCCACTCCTCCACTTGCAGCCGCTGGATGACCTTGGGCAAGCCATAGTTCTGACAAGAGCTGTTCTTGAAAAAGAGCAGTTTCTGTCAGATCTCCCTCAGCCCCGCCTACCTCACAGGGTGTCTGTTGTGGGGAGGGGAAGGGGAAGGAGTTTGTAAACTGCTCTGAGACTCCAAGTGAAAGGCGGGGTATAACTCCAGTCTCCACCTCCTCCTCCTCCTCCTCTTCTTCTTCTTCTTCTTGAAACCCCACCCTGACCAGTCCTGGAAGCCCTTCCCTGGCAGATTGGCAGTTGCTTGAGTTGTAGGATAAGCACTCTGCACATGCTCCTTAGCTGCTTTGTCCCTTCTGTCACCACTGGAAACACTAGCAACTTGGAGAGTATTCCCCCTGCCTGGCAGCATGTATCATTACACAGCTTTGACAACATCTGGGTTTAAAAGCGCTGTGTAGATACCCAAATAAAAGCTGCATACAGAACTTGGAAGAGGGGGTTTCTAGGCCAGCCCCGGAACCTCTCATTTTAGGAATGAAGAAACGGGGTTTCGGATACCTCTGCAGCCCCTGAATGTTTTATGGCTGCCACTGAAGGGAACGGTTAAGGGAGCCAGGCACTTGCAATGCCACAGTGCCATCTGCTGGCCATGTGCAGCCTGACAGTTATTAAAGCAGTCTCACATCAATGCATAGGAGTGGATTTTTTAATCTTAGTTTGGGGATTAGCTACACACGTCTTCCCCCGCCCGCCCCCGCCCAGAAAGCAGATGTAGAGAAGGATCACAATGTGGAAGAGCCAGTCTGGCTAAGTTAGAACTAGTCTCGAAAGGGGCTGTGGCTCAGCGGCAGAGCCTCTGCTTGGCATGCAGAAAGTCCCAGGTTCAATCCCCGGCATCTCCAGGTAGAAGGTGAAAGACATAAGAACATAAGAGAAGCCAATGCTGGATCAGGCCAATGGCCCATCCAGTCCAACACAGTGGCCAAAAATACCAGGTGCCATCAGGAGGTCCAGCAGTGGGGCCAGGAGACTAGGAGCCCTCCCACTGTTGCCCCCCCAAGCACCAAGAATACAGAGCATCCCTTGCCCCAGACCGAGAGTTCCCATCTATGCCTTGTGGCTAATAGACCTCTGCCTGAGTCCCTGGAGAGCTGTAAAGAGGGGCCATGGCTCAGTGGCAGAGCATCTGCTTGGCACACAGAAGGTCCCAGGTCCAATCCCTGGCATCTCCAATTAAAAGAACCAGACAGCAGGTGATGTGAAAGACCTCTCTGCCTGAGACCCTGGAGAGCCGCTGCCAGTCTGAGCAGGCAATACTGACTTTGATGAACCAAGAGTCTGATTCAATATAAGGCAGTTTCATGTGTTTCTGTGACCGGAGAGACCTGAGTTCGAATCTCCTCTCAGCCATGAGTTTATTGGGTGACCTGACCTTGGACTAGTCAAATTGCCTGTCAACCTCACCTACCTCACAGGATTATTGTGAGGCTAGAACTATCTGTGCCACCCTGAGCTCCTGGAAGGAAAGCTGGGAAATGCAGAGGTATACTGCTTCTGAACCTGGAAGTTCCACTGAGGTTTCATATTTGTTGATCAGTCCATCTTTCCAGGGTTTTGTTTCGTCCTTTCCATAAAACCATTTAAGTCAGTGGCCATCTTTGTGGATGCAAACAGGATAAGGAAACACACATTGCATAAAGAGCTATTTACCTTTATCAGGAATAACCCCTCTCCTATCTATCTGAAGAAGCGTGCCATGCACCTGAAAGCTTATACCCAGAATAAAACTTTATTGGTCTTAAAGGTGTCGCTGGACTCAGACTTTGTTTCCGCTCCCCCAAGACAGTATTAAAATTCAGGGCTGTGATTAGTTCCCTGGTTCCTAGAAAAAAGGATTTAGTGTATCCAATCTGTATTTCATCTTCAAAAAGGTTTCCGGGAAAACTGCAACATTGAACAGCTTCAGTTTATAGGATGCTGGTGACACCTGGCGGCCAGTTAAGAGAAGCCATGTGCTTTCGCTTCCTAGCTGTGGTTTAAGAACATAAGAGGCCTGGTGGATCAGACCTGTGGTCCATCTGGTCCAGCATCCTCTGCCTACTGCAAGACTTCTTGCCGTGTAAGCCGCCCTGAGCCCTATGGGGGAGGGCAGGGTATAAACTTAATAAATAAATAAATAAATCCTGTCTCACACAGTGGCCAGCCAGTTCCTCTGGAGGGCCAGCAAGAGGGCATAGAAGCCGAGGCCTTCATAAGAACATCAGAAGAGCCTTGCTGGATCAGACCAGTGGTCCATCTAGGCCAGCACCCTGTCTCACACAGTGGTCAGCCAGTTCCTCTGGAGGGCCAGCAAGAGGGCATAGAAGCCGAGGCCTTCATAAGAACATCAGAAGAGCCTTGCTGGATCAGACCAGTGGTCCATCTAGGCCAGCACCCTGTCTCACACAGTGGTCAGCCAGTTCCTCTGGAGGGCCAGCAAGAGGGCATAGAAGCCGAGGCCTTCATAAGAACATCAGAAGAGCCTTGCTGGATCAGACCAGTGGTCCATCTAGGCCAGCACCCTGTCTCACACAGTGGTCAGCCAGTTCCTCTGGAGGGCCAGCAAGAGGGCATAGAAGCCGAGGCCTTCATAAGAACATCAGAAGAGCCTTGCTGGATCAGACCAGTGGTCCATCTAGGCCAGCACCCTGTCTCACACAGTGGCCAACCAGTTCCTCTGGACGGTCAACAATAGGGCAAATAGGCCAAGGCCTTCACAAGAACATCAGAAGAGCCTTGCTGGATCAGACCAGTGGTCCATCTAGTCCAGCATCCTGTCTCACACAGTGGCCAACCAGTTCCTCTGGAGGTCCAACCACAGGGCATAGAGGCCCCAATGGGTACCCAAAGTAGCATTACATTATTCTCTCTACCACTTTATGCGCAAAACAACTCTGTGAAGTAGTGTGTACCTGGCCCAGGGTCACCCGTTGGGGAGGCACGTGGGTGTAATTGAAGTAAAATAAAAATAAATAGAGCTTTCCCAGTGATGGACCCTAGACCCTGAGGTTCAGAAAGCTTCACATCTCCTTACATTCCAGAAAGAATTCTAAATGCCTTCCATTTTTCTGTTTTGGTTCTTCTGAATTTTTCCTGCTTTGTATCTAGAGCCCCTATCTATACATCAGTGGCTATTAGCCACAAGGTATAGCTAGGGGCTCTGGGGCAAGGGATGCTCTGTCTTCTTGGTGCTTGGGGGGGGTCAACAGTGGGAGGGCTTCTAGTGTCCTGGCCCCACTGGTGGACCTCCTGATGGCTCCTGGTATTTCTGGCCACTGTGTGACACAGAGTGTTGGACGGGATGGGCCTTTGGCCTGATCCAACATTGGCGTCTCTTATGTTCTCATGTTCTTATGTCGTCTAACATTTTTATTTTATATTAATTTATGTTGCATTGTGCTGAGCCGCTCTGAGCTTTTGGGAAAGGTGTTTTTTTTAAAAAAGAAAAAAATGTTAAATAAATACAGTCTGTAGCAATTGGATTCCAGCAACCCAGTGTTTATTTACATTTTTGTCTAAAGCGCCCTGGCCGAAGGGAAGCCCAATTCAATACGATGGCAACAGATTTCTTCCCAGCCTGGGATCCAGCACTAGGCAGGGCAGCTGTCTTGGCCAGGCATGGCCTTTGGAGGCCGGCAGATGTTAAGAAGATGATGAAGCAGCTGGAAACTTAGGGGAGGGCGTCACCAGATATAGTGGGACACAGAAGAGGAGCTCCAGGAGTGGAACGAATCTCAACATGTTTGATGTTTGAAAACCTCGACCTTTGTCCCTCCACAATCCAGCAACCCCTCTTGGGTGGCATCTCCTTCATTCGGGGTTAGGGTGTCTGGGGTGGAGCTGTGCCCTTTAGGTCTTCCCATGCCAAATTTAACCCAGGGGAAAATAGTGGACTTTAAAATTCAGCTTCGAGAAGCACTCAAAAATCGATTAATTTCCAAAACTGGCCTTTTGCATTTCCTTCTTCCCACTAAATTCAGTCTCACCTACAATTTAAAGTATTTTTTAAAAATCCCGAAGTGCTTTTTGCAAGCAAAACTGCTTCTCGGCCACCCCCCCATTTGATAAGTGATGCTGATTTTGACGCCCGTTTTGCAATTTGCATTCTCTTGTTTGTTTTGGATTTAAGTTTTGGCTTTATTTTTGTTGCTCACAAGGCCTACTTTCAAGCTAAGCCATATCTGAAAACATAGCAGGGCATGAAGGGAGCGCTATTCAGTGGGTAGACTGCCTCTGAGCATGAAGGTTCCATTTAGCTATCCTCATGGCTAATCTTGGTGACCCACTCTTCCAAACATGAGGGTGGTTTCCCTAGAGAGGTTTGAACACCCTTCTGGCCCACCTGTGTGAAATTTGCATTACTTTTGTGCAGGCCAACTGAGAGGGGGGAAGGGGGTGGCATTTATGGAGACCTAATGGCCCTGGGCATGTCATGAGACTCGTTTTTCATAAGTTGTTGGGAAAGGGGGACAGAGAACCTTCTCCTGGAGGCCATTCGTAGCTCAGCAGCGCCACCTTTGTGCGGAATTCTATAATACACACCGAGATGTCTGCCATTCACACACGGACAAAACAGATTTTTGTTCCTTTGTGCACCCGGCTTCCTCACCTCAACCGCCTTTCACCAGCCTTCCCCTCTAAACATCCCTATAGCACAAAAGGTCAATTCACATCCAACTGCAGCCCAGATTCTCAAGTGTTTCAAAACTGCAAGCGGAAAGATAGTCATAGCTGTGGGTGTTTTTGAATAGGCAAGATTGCAGCAGCGTTCAAGTTCAAGGGAAGGCTTTTTAAAAAAAACTTTGTGTCTGGAATTCCCAGAGGACTGGATCCCAGCAGGAACGCCACATCTGGCAGATTCCGTTTTAGCAGAACGCTTCATCCCGCCCTGAGCACAACCACGCACCCGTTCCCTCCTTCCTCAACGAGGGAGACTCCACTGCAGGAGTGCTCCCCCGGCTCCAGCATTCTGAGGGTCGACATTACAGCTCCACAGTGACGCTGCTGTGGGTGACTCGTGCGCCGTACCAGCCCTTCCAGAAGACGGTGTCCTGGCCGCCATGCTCGAAGTAGACAAAGCGAACCCCGGGGCCGTAGTCCGTGAAGGTGTGGGTGATCTTCGGGAAGAGAAGGAGAGAGAAATGGTCAACAGTTTGTATTGGTGACAAATCCATTTACCGACCGTGGCTGTTGAGAAACCTGGCCCCCCGTAGAGCTTTTTGTCAAAGCCCTCTAAACCAGGGGGCCTCACCACATCTTGTGGCGGAGAGTTCCACATGCAGCTGAAGCCTGGTGTGAGGAAGTACTTCCTTCAGCCTGCCTGAATCTGTGATGGAGCAATGCACGGAAGACCCCAGGGTTTTGTATCATAAGAGGGGAAGAAAGAAGTCCGTCTACTGTCTCCACACTCCACATCAGAAACCTCTACATAAGAACATAAGAACATAAGAGACGCCAATGTTGGATCAGGCCAAAGGCCCATCCAGTCCAACAGTCTGTGTCACACAGTGGCCAGAAATACCAGTGCCATCAGGAGGTCCACCAGTGGGGCCAGGACACTAGAAGCCCTCCCACTGTTGCCCCCCACCCCCAAGCACCAAGAAGACAGAGCATCACTTGCCCCAGAGCCCCTAGCTATACCTTGTGGCTAATTGCCACTGATGGACCTCTGCTCCAGATGCTTATCTAATTCCCTTTTGAAGCCGTCCATGCTTGTAGCCGCCACCACCTCCTGTGGCAGTGAATTCCATGTGTTAATCCCTCTTTGGGTGAAGAAGGACTTCCTTTTATCCGTTCTAACCCAACTGCTCAGCAATTTCATGGAGTGCCCATGAGTTCTTGTATTGTGAGAAAGGGAGAAAAGTACCTCTTTCTTTACCTGCTCTTTCCCATGCATAATCTTATAAACCTCGATCATGTCACCCCTCAGTCGTCCTTTGTCCAAGCTAAAGAGCCCTAAGCGCCTTAACCTTTCCTCATAGGGAAAGTGTTCCAACCCTTTTATCATTCGAGTTGCCCTTTTCTGCACTTTTTCCAAAGCTATAATATCCTTTTTAAGGTGTGGTGCCCAGAACTGCACACAGTATTCCAAATGAGGTCTCACCATTGATTTATATAGGGGCATTATTATATTGGCTGATCTGTTTTCAATACCCTTCCTAATAATCCCCAGCATAGCATTGGCCTTCTTTATTGCAGTCACACACTGTCTCGACATTTTCAGTGAGTTATCCACTACAACTCCAAGATCTCTCTCTTGCTCAGTCTCTGCCAGTTCAGACCCCATCAATGTGTATTTATATTTAGGATTTTTGGCTCCAATGTGCATCACCTTGCACTTGGCCACATTGAACCCCATTTGCCATGTTGACGCCCACTCGCCCATCCTTGACAGATCCCCTTGGAGTGCCTCACAATCGTCACTGGTTTTCACCACCCTGAACAACCTCTAGTACAGGGATCCCCAATAGGGGACCCCCTCTGGGCACCATGGTGCTTGCTGACAGTGGGGCACCTCGGGCCAGGCCCCCTGACTTCCTGGCAAGGCCCCCCCCGACTTCCCATCCAGCCCAGGGCCCCCAAGCAGCAGCAGGTGCAGGGAAGGAGCTGGGGAGTTTTTTAATTTGATTAGCCAGTGCCCCCCCCCCCCACTTAAAAAATTCCGGCAACAGGCCTGGGTGCTGGAGCCGGGCAAGAGCCTTCACAGCCGGAGCCCAACGATGGAGGAATGGAGAAACAAAATATGGGAATTCTTCATCATGGATAAAATAACCAAGAGACACCTCTCGAACATCCCCATGCACAACGCACTCCAAATTCACAGACACCTGGTTCCCATACAATTTATGGCAGGAAAACGATTTCCTCCCAAAAAAATCCGAACTTTGCATCGTGGCTTCGTTTATAACTAAGCAATACTCTTGAATCTTTGACAACGCAGCACTCTAGATGACCCTAGTTGTTCATGTTCATGCTCATGTTTATGTCCATACCGGTATATAGTACTCTCAGGCAACGCGTGATTCCTTCTTGTTGCATCATTATCCCTTCTGTTCTGAAGCTTATGTTTAGCCTATTTGTCTTCTTACTGTTAAAATTCTGCGTTGTATGTTATTTAGATGTTGAAATTCTTTTGTTTGCACTTAAGGTAAAGGTTCCCTTGCTCGAAAGCCAGTCGAATCCGACTCTAGGGTTGCGGTGCTCATCTCCGTTTCAAAGCCGAAGAGCCAGCGCTGTCCAAAGACGTTTCCGTGGTCATGTGGCCAGCATGACTAAACACCAAGGTGCATGGAATGCTGTTACCTTCCCACCGAAGTGGTGCCTATTTATCTACTTGCAATTTCTTGCTTTCGAACTGCTAGGTTGGCAGGAGCTGGAACTAGAGATGGGAGCTCACTACATCATGCGGCACCCGGGTCTCGGACTGCTGAACTACTGACCTTCCACAGCCTGCAGTTCAGCGTCTTAACCACTTGAGCCACCGCAGCTTACACTTAAATTTTAAAAAAAATTAAAACCTGGCTACGGGCCTGCCACCAAGTATTTTTGGAAACTGGGTGGGGCTTTTAAACCACAATGCTTTGGCAGCCACTGTATAAGGACCTTCACTGGGTGACTGATGGTAAGCTGCCTCCGCCGGCAGCCATTTTGTGGCAGCCATTTTGTTTCTGTGTCCACCGCACTGTGTCAGGGTTCCAAAGTTGCCTGCAGGCTTTCAAAAGTTGGGGGCAGTGTTCCCTCGAAGCTGAGTTGGCGTGAGCCAGCTCACAGTTTTTTAGCCTCCGTCTCACAGATTTTTGCCTTAGCTCAGGAAGGAGGGCTCCAGAGCAAACTAGTTTACACAGTAGCCCAATCGCTCCCTCCCAACTTTAAGGCCAGGAGCTCACAAAGTAGGGCTTTTGCTCACAAGACTCCACAGCTTAGAGGGAGCATTGCTTGGGGGAACCCGTAATCTAGTCCAACCCTCTGCTGAACACAAAAGGCAATTCTCCCTGTGGGGCTAGCTTTCTTTTTGCAGGACATTGGTTATGCAAAATGACATTCCAAGCCAGAACCGACCAGGTGATGTGGCGACCAGTGTTCCCTGTAAGCTGAGTGAGTGTGAGCTAGCTCACAGTTTTTTAGCCTCCGGCTCACACATTTTAGTCTTAGCTCAGAAAGGATGGCTCCAGAGCAAACTAACTTATAAAGTAGCCAAATGGCTCGCTCACAACGTCAACGCCACGAGCTCACAAAGCAGAATTTTTGCTCACAAGACTCCACAGCTTAGAGGGAGCATTGGTGGCGACCATCCGTTCTGCCACCGCAGAGTGTCTGGCTGCCTTGCACGTGTGAATCGGAGCCCAGCCGCACGTCCTCTGGGCCACAGGTCAGGCTGGGGGCACAGACAAAAGGGGTTTCCTATGAGATCCTGGGGAAAGACCCACCCATCTCAACGGTTCCCAACGGACCGGCTCAGTTTCCTGTCCTAGAATCACAGAGTTGGAAGCAAGGCTCCCTCTCAGCTGTGGAGCCCTGTGAGCAAACATTCTACTTTGTGAGCTACCGGCATTAAAGTCGTGAGCGAGCCATTTGGTTACTGCATAATTTAGTTTGCTCTGGAGCCCTCCTTCCTGAGCTAAGGCAAAAATGTGTGGGCCAGAGGTTAAAAAACCTGTGAGCTGGCTCACACTCACTCAGCTTGGAGGGAACACTGGTGGGAAGGGACTTCCAGGCTCATCTCGCACAATGAAGGGACTTCCAGCTCATCTCGCACAATGCAGGGACTTCACAAATGCCTGGAGGAACCCTCTCGCCCTCTGCTACTCTCTGCTCCACTGTTACAGGAATGGCTACAAGCAGGGCTATTTTGGGGCAGGAACGCACAGGAACGGAGTTCCGGCTGGCTCCTGAGTTGGCCACGCCCAGCAGAAACTCATTAGCATAACAGGCCACACCCAACAGCAGAAACTCATTCGGATTGGCTACATTAGGGGTGTGTGGCCTAACATGCAAAGGAGTTCCTGCTACAAGAAAAGCCCTGGGTTTTGACAACAAACAGGGTAAGCAGAATAAGAAGCAAAAGGTGGGTGTGGCTGGATGACCACACTTCTGGTAACATGGGGGTGCGGCCTAATATGCTAATGAGTGGTGCAGTCAGGGTGTGGCCTAATATGCTAATGAGTTTTTACTGCTGGGTTTGGCCTATTGTGCTAATGAGTTCCTGCTGGACTTTTTCTACCAAAAAAGCCCTGGCTACAACCTGAGCTCACGCCCGCTGTTTTTTGTTGTCTTCCCTCGAGACACCCCCCCTCCCCCGTGCCCCCACCTCGTTCCATTCGCCTTCATTGTCTTGCGGGAGCGCGATGGTCTCACTCCGGTATTCAGCCACCACCTCGTCCGTCTCGGACAGCAGCTTCACGTTCAGCTCGTACAAGCAGCCGGCGTCGCACCGGGCCGCGTACCTGCAGGGGGAGGAGGCAGAGCCACATCGACACGGACAGAATAAGTGGGTGGGAAGCGGCCGGGGGGTCTCTCTCTCTCTCTCTCTACTTACCAGTCCCTCACCACGATTTTGGGCTGGATCGTGTCCATCAGCTCCTCCCAGTACCCTTCGGCCCGGAGATCAATGACTTGGGATTTGCGGCACCACCTGAAACACAACAGAGTGAGAAAAGGGAATCGCTCTCTGCATTCCTGGGGGCCCTAGCCACTCAAGCAGTCTTTGTGGCCCTGGGCTCGCTCACGTGCCAGTCACAGGCGGCTGGACTGCAGTTTTATCACAGGGTTTTGCTGCCCAGTCTGAGCCTTGCAAAAATGCGAAATGCTGAACCAAAGAAACCTGAATGCAAATGTATTCACTTTGTATGCCCTGTCGAATCTTGGAAGCTACGCAGTGTTGGCTCTAGTCCAGTGATGGCGAACCTTTTAGAGACCGAGTGCCCGAACTGCGACCCAACACCCACTTATTGATCGCAAAGTGCGCAACACGGCGATTTAACCTGAATGCTGAGGTTTTACTTTAGAAAAAAACAACTCCTACATTAACTTAAGAGGATCCAAACAAAGTAAGGAAAGCAAATCCCAAATGCTTTCGTTTACTTAAAATTATCTGGCAGAGAATTCAACACTTTAATGATGGTCTGGGCCTGGCTGGGGCGATGGCACGCGTGCCCACAGAGAGGGCTCTGAGTGCCACCTCTGGCACCTGTGCCATAGGTTCGCCACCACTGCTCCAGTCGGTACTTGGATGGGAGACCACCAAGGAAGTCCAGGGTCGCTATGCAGAGACAGGCCGTGGCCAACCACCTCCAAACACCTCTTGCCTCGAAAACTCCACAACGTTGCCATAAGTCAGCATTGACTTGAACTGCATAATTTTATTCTGCAGGTTTTAAACAATTTGGCATAGCTTCTTCTGCTTAAATATGCAACAGAGAAGCCCAAGACTGATGCTATGCAAGAAGAAGAAGAAGAAGAAGAAGAAGAAGAAGAAGAAGAAGAAGAAGAAGAAGAAGAAGAAGAAGAAGAAGAAGAAGAGGAAGAGGAGGAGGAGGAGGAGGAGGAGGAGGAGATTGGATTTATACCCCGCCCTTCACTACCCAAAGGAGTCTCAGAGCGGCTGACAAACTCCTCTCCCTTCCCCTCCCCACAACAGACACCCTGTGAGGTGGGTGGGGCTGAGAGAACTCTGACACAAACTGCTCTTTTTCAAGGACAGCTGTGCCAGAGCTTGTGACTGACCCAAGGTCACATCAGCAGGTGCAAGTGGAGGAGTGGGGAATCAAACCCGGTTCTCCCAGATTAGAGTCCGCACACTTAACCACTACACCAAACACAACAGTGGAAGCCTAAATCATTTCCCTGGAGACTGAAACTTCATCTGATATTGCAGACAGATTTCTCAGGCATAGTTTTGCAGCCACGCAGATGAGGAACTTGTTAGCAAAAAAAATTAAGCCATGTCCCCAACCCTTGGGAATTCAGCCTCCTCTCAGGCTTCTGAGGTATCAGCAGGTTTGGCCGTCATTTGCATGACTTTGCAAGAACTTAGAGGCTTGCTGTCTTAAAAAAAATAAAACAAATAGAAGCTGGCTGTAAATTCTGCGCCCTGTGCTATACTCTCCGGGTTTGCTGTGCTTCTGTGAAATGACAGCACTAAGGACTTTTTAGGGAGGCGGCCTGGGGGTGGGGCGCCTGCTAATCTAGTCAAAGGTTCCAGGGCAAGGGCTGCAGCAGCCGCAGCCTCCGGGTCCAGCTCCCCCCCCCCCAAGGAGCCCCAGTGCCTCTTCCACTCTTGCACAGCACCGGGGGCAACCTCTGGAATCACTGCCCTTGTCCTCCCTGCCAACAGGCTGACAGGCAGTCAGGGGGAGTTGGGGTAGGGGAACCAAGGCTCGGGAAGGCCCCCCCCTAAAAACTGCTAGGGGGCCAGGCCCCACGGGCCCCACATTAACTCCGGGCCTGACTTGCCCATAAACTTGCTCAAATCTCCACTTAGATACAGAGAGAGAGAGAAAGAGAGAAACAGGGCTTACTCAAAAGACGTGACGAAGTACTTGTGGACCTCGTCGCTGGGGAAATCTTTCCCGAAGTCTCCGGGCAGTTCCTCGATTTTCCAGCCGTCGCCCCCGCTTTCCACTTCTACCCAGTGCTCCAGGTCCTCTGAAAAACGGCACAATGAAAGAGGCCCTTCCGTTTCCCTCCACCCTGCCAGTCGCAGAATGGGCAACGAGATCTGTTGGCTCATGACTGGGACATTGGTCTACCTGGAAGCTACCCGGGGCCTCATCTCCACGGCAGGGTGCAAAATAGTTCTGGGTTTCACAGGAAGGTGCTCCAAGATCCCCGCTGAGTTTGCTCAGTTGTTTAATTCATTCGTACCCCAACTTTCTCCCCAACAGGGACACAAAGTGGATTATATCAGTCTCCTCCTTTTTATCCTCACAACCACCCCGTGAGGTAGGTTAGGCTGAGAGACTGTGACTGGCCCAGGGTCACCCAGTGAGCTTCCATGGCACGAGTGGGGCATTCGAACCTGGTTCTCCTAGATCAGGGGAGTCAAACATGCGGACCAGGGGCCGGATGAGGCCCCTGGAGGGCTTCCCTCAAGCCTGCAGTGGAGCTGGCCATCTCCTGCTTCCAGTTCTGCTGCTGCTGCTGCATCATCGCTTGCTTCGCCAGACTCTCTTAATCGCTCAGACATTTCATGTTTTAACCTGGGTCCTAGTCTCAGAACTCCGAGCATGAGATTTCTGTGGTGAATGTCAATAAATCGAAAGCAGGTTTGCATCTTACAGAGCTCATGTTTTAAGCATGTTTTTATTTTAAGTAAAAAAGAGAGCCTTCTGTGTTTGTGTCCTTTCTAAAGTTTATATCTCTGCTACCTGGCATTACCTTTTATGACATGCATGGGCCTGGCCCAACAAGGTCTCACTTATGTCAGATCCGGCCCTCCATAACAAATGAGCTCGACACCCCTGTCCTAGATGTTAGTCTTTTACTGGCTGTCATCTGGTTGGGCTGCATAATGTGCATTGGAAAGAGGTGCTAAAATGATGAGCTGGTAAAAGGGGCTGCACTGCTTCAGGCACTGTCCTTTTCTAATGCACCATGGGTTTTTTTAATCTCCATGCAAGGAGAAAGCTAGCATATCAGGGGAAAGGCCTTCCCTCAGCTTGTCATCCTATTTGAACGGGTGTTCCCTTTGCAGGGAGTTCTTCACACAGGGGACCGTTCCAAAACAGGATCCCGAACTGATGCCGTCTGTTCCGTCACCTCATCCCTCTCTATGTGTCAGCCAGGCAGCCACTGAGAGTATTCAAGGCAATTTGCAAAGATGGTTTGCATTCTCTGCACCAGCTCGGAGACTGAGACGGGAGCCAAGAAGTCCCCCAGTTCAACTCTCAGTGGCCTTTCAAAGCCCCTCACTCTCTTTGCCTCAGTTTCTCCCCCCACAATAGGGGGAGGGGCCTACCTTACAGGGTGGGTTGTCACCAGACTTGCGGAGACAATGAAGGACTTTTAAGCAGTCTAAAGTATTACGTCCCTGCTTCTGTCTAGTGGGTTGCCAAGCTTGGCGGGGGTTCCCATGCTATAACTATCGGCGAGGCAGGCAGGAACCCACCAGGGGCAGCTCCTCCTAAGCAGGATCATGTGGCAATGCAGGAAACTCCCCCTCCTGGATTTCTGCCTGTCATCTAGCTGGGGCCAGGGGCGGATTAACCATGAAGCAGACTAAGCACGTGCTTAGGGCACCAGGGCCAAAGGGGGCACCACAAAGTTGAGGAAAGGGTGAAAAGCTTAGTTTGTACAGTATATTGCAGGTATGTCCAACAGGTAGATTGCGATCTACCGGTAGATCGCGGAGGGGTCAGAGGTAGATCACCAGCCCCACTTGGTCTCCTGGTTTGCAGGACAGGTGTTTGGGTTTTTTTGATGATTGTTTGGTGGTTCTTTCTGGATCTTCGTCTCTCTGTTTTGTTTTTGCTTATTTCGCTTACCAGTAAATGACAGAAGGTGCATTATAAATTGGGGGGGGGGAGCGGTGGAACCCAACTTTAGTGGGTTAAAATCTAATTTGAAACTAATTTGAAACTTTATTTTCATGGTGGTAGATCACCGGCAGTTTTGGCCGGAAAAAAAATAGATCACTACCTGTTCGAAGTTGGACATGCCTGGTATACTGTGTTATCCTATGAATAAATTTTTGTACTGCTACAACCTGCATCGTATAACTGGTCAGACAGGTCAACTGCTAAAACGGACTGGGGGTCAGTGTGGAAAGGGGGGGCACCAAGACTGGTCATTGCTCGGGGCACCAGTGAGCCTTCATCCGCCCCTGTGCAGGGCACATGGCTGAGGGCAATGTTCCCTCTAAGCTGTGGAATCTTGTGAGCAAAAATTCTACTTTGTGAGCTACTGGCATTCAGTGTTCCCTCTAAGCTGAGTTAGTGTGAGCCAGCTCACAGTTTTTTAGCCTCTGACCGACACATTTTTGTCTTAGCTCAGGAAGGATGGCTCCGGAGCAAACTAATTTATGCAGTCGCCAAATCGCTCAATCACAACTTTAATGCCAGTAGCTCACAAACTGGAATTTTTGCTCACAAGACTCCACAGCTTAGAGGGAGCATTGCTGGCATTAAACCTGTGAGCGAGGCATTCGGCTCCTGCATAAATTAGCTTGCTCTGGAGCTATCCTTCCTGAGCTAAGACAAAAATGTGTCGGTCAGAGGCTAAAAAACTGTGAGCTGGCTCACACTAACTCAGCTTAGAGGGAACATTGGCTGAGGGTCTCCCGGTGGGCCCCTCTTCTTCCCCGATCCTCCTTGCCCCCTCACCTTCACCGGTGGCGTTCTTGATCAGGTTCCTCTTCCTCTTATTCAGGAAGTAGAGCATCTGCCAGCTGGCGCCTCCTTCCTCCTCCGCATCTTCTCCGGCCAGCCCTTCCCACTGGCACTTCAGGAGCCAGAGGGCCGCGCTGTCGACCAGGGCCTTCCACTGGGAGCAGACCAGCCGGCACACCAGGATCAGCTCCACCGCCGGTACTGAGGCCAGGATCTGGATGAGCAGCGGCTCAGGGAGGGACTCCATCCTCTGGGAAGAAGAAAGGACTTGCCAGGAAAAAATCACCAGCAGCTCGGGAAGAGAGGGGGCAGCTGAGCTATACGGTTTCCGGAATGCAAGGTCGACTTTGGGGCTGTGCTGCAAAGTCGAGATCAGCAACCAGGAGTCCCCTGAGCCAAATCCAGGCGAGGCCCACGGACCCGGCTGCCAACCCAGCAGAGAAAGGAGGGCGTGGCCGCTGCAATAAATGGGCGTGCCCTTTGGAGTGCCCTTTGTCTCTAGGGTTGCCAGGTCTGGACTGGAAAATACCTGGAGACTTTGGGGGTGGAGTCAGGAGAGGGCGGGGTTTGGGGAGGGGAGGGGCCACGGCAGGGTACGACGCCACAGAGCCCACCCTTCAAAGCAGCCGTTTCCTCCAGGGGAGCTGATCTCTGCCAGCTGGAGGTCAGCTGTAAAAGCGGGGGATCCCCAGGCCCCACCTGGAGGCTGGAAATCCAAACACAACATCCGCGACAAAAATAACGAAGAGTCAATAAAGACTTGTTTGCAAAATCATTTACTGTAGTAAGTCTGTAGAAAATTCTCTTCTATTATCGCTCGCACGCTAACAAACGCTGCGCAATGTAAACGATTCGTTTCACAATATTTGCTTTATCCGAGCGTGTAGCGATCACGGTTCTTATCAAATGTCTACTTATCGGCTCTTGAAGGGAACGTCCCGTGTTGACTCTCTAATAATAGAACCCAAGGTCTTCACAAAATGGCCCTCAGCCCAAACCTATCGCTGGCAGGACTTTCCACTCTGAAATCTACATTGCAGAAAATATTTGCTAAGGTGGGGATCTGAACTCGAGGAGGAGGGAGGGCTGGTTTCCCAGCCCGCTGGAGGAGAGGAGCAGGCTCTGGGTCCCCAGCAGTGGTCTCAGCAGGGCCCACGAAGGTTTCTTTGCAGGCCCCACCTTTCCCCAGACACAGAAGCCCCTCCCATCTCCTATGGGGTGCACGGGCCTGGAGGCGGAGGGCTGGAAGAGCCCCCACCTGAGAGAGCGGCTGCCAGTCAGGGACTACGATGCAGGGCCAGCAAGGGTTGCCAGCTCGGGACTGGAGAAATCCCTGGAGATTTGGGAGACAGGCCCTGGGGAGAGGAGGAACCTCGGCCAGGCATAATGCCACACACTCCACCTTCCAAAGCAGCCGTTTCCTCTTGGGGAACTGATCTCTGTCGTCTGGAGATGAGTTGTCATTAATGTTCCCTCTAAGCTGTGGAGTCTTGTGAGCACAAATTCTACTTTGTGAGCTCCTGGCATTAAAGTTGCGAGTGAGCCACTTGGTCGCTGCACAAATTAGTTTGCTCTGAGGCCATCCTTCCTGAGCAAAGGCAAAAATCTGTGAGCCGGAGGCTAAAAAACTGTGAGCTAGCTCACACCGACTCAGCTTAGAGGGAACACTGGTTGTCGTTCCGGGAGATCTCCAGGCACCACCTGGAGATTGGCAAGCCTGGGACCAGCCATGACTTGGGAGAAGGCTCTCCGTGTGCCGGTCCAGCAGAACCCCCTCACCCCTGTCCAGGGGCTGCTCCGTCACTCTGCCTTATGATCAGTGATTACAGAGGTGAGCTTGCAATTTTTTTAAGAAAAAGACCGCAAAACTGGGGAGGGAGGTTTAAATAGCTGGCCTGTGTCTTTCCCCCCAAGCCTCCTTACCCGGCAGATGTCTCAGGTCAGCTGCAACACCGGGTCCAGCTGCGGCGAGAAGGAGGCCAGCTGCATCTGTGGTGGTCCCTCTAGTGACTCCGAAGTCCCAGCCTTGGGGGGGGGGGGCAGGAGGATGCTGAGCGCTTCCTGTCTCTCCTGGCTCCGCCTCTGGAGCTGGACCGGTCTGGTCTTGTCTGTCGCAGGCAAGTAACTGAAGATGTTGTTGGCGCTGGAGAGAAAGGAGAAAGTCGATCTGCAGGCAGAAGGGGGGGGGGAGAGAGTGCCCGCCCTGCCCAGAGGGCCTTAAGTGCTGACACAGCAAAAAAAACAACCTGGAATTTAATTTCCACCAAGCCCTCCAGACGTGTTTTTCTCTCGCAGAGTTCTGTCAGAACTCCACAGCTCACTCACCGGTTTGTGACCTTTAAATCCCGATAAAAAGGTTTTACTTACAACTGGGATTTTCCCCAAAAAACCATCTTTGTTAAAAGTTGTGAGGGTGCCCCCAAAGGCCATCCAGACCAACCCCATGTTTGCACTGTAGAACTCTCCAACTGTCAGTCTTCCTAAGCTCAAACTGTATTTGTTTGGCTCAAGCAACGCGTGGGTGGGTTGCACGTTTGTGCCAATAAGGATTATCTCTATGTTTGTTTGTTTACTTTTTGGTCTTCCTACAGTTTCACGTGGCAGGCAGAAATGTCCAGGCATGGAAGCGCTGTTTGGGGAAGCCTCGCCTGTTGCATGTCTTCCCGTTTTGATAAAGTAAAGGAAACACTGAGGCCTAGCCTGGAAAACTTAGGCCCCGGTCACACGGGCAGGAAACTGCGAGGGAGAAGCGTGGCTGTTTGCCCTGGGGCAAACAACTACGCAGTTACTCGATCAGACCTCCCGTGGAGGTCCTGTGGAGGTACCGTGGAGGTTCCATGGCAAGGGAGAGGTGCTGATCACAGGACAAGCCGGCGCGCAACAAAGAAGCGCGCGCCGCGGCAAACTGTTTTGGTTTTGTGTGTACACGACTAATGCGCATGCTCCGTTGGGTGCGTGTGCGCATCCACAGAGACGTGGACAAAAAAAAATGCCTTATTTGCAAGGGGACATGGGCGGGCGCCGGATGCCACCGGAAACGCGATCAGACGCCCGCCCTTGCCCCGCAGTTTCCGGCAACTAGTACCTCCGAGGTACTAGTTTTTTGCCACGCAGTTTCGGCTGGAAGCCTCGGTTGTGCCACTGGAGTGCTACGCTTCCCAGATGTGCTGGTGAGATCGCGCCCGGAAACTCTGCCTGTTTTCCGTCTCACTTGTGTGGCTTCTGTTCCGTGTGACCGCAGCCTTAAATGGGTTCTGGATCAGCGGCAAAGAAAAGTAATGGTGGCCACGGTTGATAAAATCCATGAGTCATGAGACTGTCTCGTGTGCACTCTTTGACCCCAAAGCCCCCCATATGAATCTCCAGGTATGCATCGAGGAAACAAGTCGTGGTTCCTTTGTGGTGAAAGAAAAACTGTCTGCACGTGCTCTGGAATCCCACCTGTCTTCTCTTCACGAGCCAAAATGACCCAAAGGCAAGGAAGCCGGAGAATAAGAAACCACCCGTGGGACTGAGAACTGGGAAACTAAGCGGCGTGCAACACTGGAAAGGCACTCTGCCCATGTTCAGGAGACCTACACTAGAACATCTGCCTCAGGGCAAAAAATATATATCTCTGCATCTGCTGCCCACATATACTTGGGAGGTCACTGTGAAAGGTGAAAGGAAAAACCCTCTACAGAGAGCGGGGGTCTGGAAGAGACCGGTGACTTATACCCCACACACACAAAGGATCATTCTGCAGACATGAAAACATCAATAATGGACCACTGGCAGGAGGTAATCCAGGTGGACGGTCACAGCTTGGGCCCAATTCAACAACTTGGGACTTGTGGTTCTTTAGCAGGGTGGTCATCATAACCCCTTCCAAATCCTCAAAGCCCTTTGCATACGTGATTGTTATCACGACAACATCCTTGTAAGGCAGGTAACTATTGAAAGAGTCTATTTACTCATTCATTTACTCACGGGTCATTTCAGAAGCCAGCCTGTTTAAGGAGAGAAATGCTGCAGATCAGAATTTCAAAATATGTGAAGTCACGAATCAGTAAAACAATCTGTTGACCCCAAAATATCTCTTTTTCATGCCCCCCTCTGAAGCAGAGGAAAACAAAACATATCCAATTCTTAGTTCATGAGTGGAAATTTGATATTGGTTATTCATCTGGCCAGCTGGTAGCATTCGAACCTGGGACTGCTTGATTCCTAGCTCAGTCTCTTACCAAGCAGCACCAGAGCCTTCACCTCCTCCCAATGTGGCTGCCTATTCTAGCCCCAAATGCTCCTCTCTTTTGTCTTCAGGGCTCCTACACTTTTCAGAACTACCTTCCCAGTGTCCGTCGTGCTATTTTTCATCACTGGGGGGGGGGGGGCGAAGGCGCTGAGACACAGCCATTCTGTTACGGCAGCCTCACCTGTGATCTGAATGGACACTGCAGGACAAAGAGGAAGCTGTTGCCCTGACGCATTCTGGTGGTTTCAAAAAAAGCCTCCTCTGATGCACTTGTGTTCTTCCGCGCAATTCCTGGGGGATGCCCCAAACTTGTATACCTCCTGAGGCTGCGGTTTCAGATATCTTCCATCCAGGGGTCACTTCCTGGAGGAGCGCACAGGAGCAGAGCTCTGGCAGTAAGGAGCTCAGGGGGCGGGCACATGCAGCAAGCCCCGCCCCCTGCTCCCAGCAACCCTCAGTCAGGCCACGAGGAGCAAGAAGCAGCCAGGTAAATTGCAGAGCCCCCCCCCCCAGCCCACCTTCAGGTACAAGCTCTCCCTCCTCTGTGAGGGCAGATCTGCACATTCCCGCCCCAATAGCTAGCAATCCAAAACAGTCCAGTGGAGCCTGAGCGGTGGGTGTTGCCTTCTGACACACTTCCGGTGATGTCATGGGGTGTGGCATATGCAAATAAGGCAGGCTAATGAGTTATGCTAATGAGCTCCTGCACCTCTTTTTCTACGAAATGACCCCTGCTTCCATCTAGGAGCCATCTTTAATCAATCCATTTGTCGCTGAAAGGTTATAGCACCTTTAATAAATCAGTCTGTAGCCAAAAGACGATGCAGAATATATATATATATATATATAAAAGATGTATTTATTAACATTATTTACAGTCCACTTTTCTCACCACGACTGAAGACGGATTACACAGTGTAATCCATTCAAGGTATCGGCTGTCTCTTACAGAGCCCTTCCTGGCCTTGGATCTTCAAATCTGCAAGACTGCTGATCTACTATGACAGAGCAGGGCCTTCTGTGGGTCCCACCCTGCAAATGGGCAAAATCAGCAACTGCCCATTTATGCACGACATTCTTGGTGGTGGCCCCCACCTTATGGAATGCCCTGCCCGAGGAGGGCAGAAAGGCATCCCACAAATTCTGCAAAACTGAATTGTTCAGGAGGGGATATACATGTAAAGGGGATATCTTATAACAGAATGGTTCAGAAAGATACTTTAATAAATGTATTAGAAAGTTGGACCATCATGCAGATTCACGGTCTGTAAAGCTATGTAGAAGTCGCTGCCAGAGGATGTTGTAATGGCCACAGGAATAAACAGTTTTAAAGGGGGATTAGATAGACATATTCATGGATGATAAGTCTGTGAATGGCTACTAGCCATGGTGACGGAGGGGAACCTCCACATTCAGAGGCAATAAACCTCTGAATCCCAGAGCTAGGAGGCAACACCAGGGGAAGGACTTGGCTTCTGTGCCCTGTTGTTGGCCCTCCAGAGGAACTGGTTGGCCACAGTGTGAGACGGGATGCTGGACTAGATGGACCTTCACTGGTCTGATCCAGCAGGGCTCTTCTTACGTTCTTATCAGGCTAAAGCCCCAGTCTCTCTACCCTATTCCTGGCCCTCCAGAGGAACTGGCTGGCTGCTGTGTGAGACGGGATGCTGAATGGACCCTCACTGGCCTGATCCAGCAGGGCTCTTCTGGTGTTCTTCTCAGGGGAAGGCCTCGGCCACTCTGCCGTGTTGTTGGCCCTCCAGAGGAACTGGCTGGCCACCGGGTGAGACAGGATGCCGGACTAGATGGACCACAGGTCTGACACAGCAGGGTTCTTATATTCTTATGTTATCCAGTTAGAGAAAAAGGAGCGAAAACAAAGCTCTCGTACTGGTCCCTGAGCCTGGGTATAGAAGAACCCATCAGACAGCAGGGAGACCGTAATCCTGTTAGCCCCTTCAGCCAACTTGGACAGGAGCCAGTCAAGAGTTAGATTTTTCAATCCCCCTTCAAGGTCTAAGTAGACCTAGCTTGGTCAGCCAGGAGACAGAGAGGAAGAGCTCCGAAGGACTTCAGGAAACAGGGGCAGAGCTGACGTCTCAGGACCTAAGCAGAGAAATTCCCCCCACCATCAGAACGCTGGCAGAAAAAGCATCAGAAGGCTCAAGTGTGAATTAATACAGAACGGGAACAAAGACGGTTCCTCCTGTATCCAGTTTTGCATTTTCCGACCCTTCTTACCAAATTGGTGTTAAATGTTGAAGAGCCCAGTTTGTCTGGATCTGAAGTGAAAGGCGTTGTTCTTTTACTTGGGAAGCCAGCGCCTGAGGCCTAACTACACTCACCGACCCTAAGCAAGCCGACCTTCCTCTTGACAGAATAAATCAGTGCAGTGAACAGGACGGGACGTCCAAAAAGACAGAGGACCTCTTTTCGGGGGGGGGGGAGGTCTCCGGACCAAAAAAATAACAACGGAAGCGGCAACCAAGATCCAAACAATGAACAGGTCGTCAAATGTGTACATAAATTAAATCAGGGAAAGAAAAAAAGCCTCACCCACAGAGGAACAATGTAATAAAAGGGCCTTCGCAACACAGGTGTCCCCCTGCCCCTGGACAAAGCCCTCTTCCCGGTAGAGAATCCCTCCTAATAACAAACCCGAGGGCCAAACACCTATCTGTAGGGCAGCCATACAGAACCACCCACAGACAAGTGTGGGATTTCTGCGTGTTTTTTGGGGGGGGAATCCCCAGATACGTAGAAAACCACAACTTTTGTCAGATTTTTAACAAGAAGCAGCAGCACACGTGTGCACACAGAACTTGACAATGACTGTGCAGAAAACAGAGGCAGACAGGCGAACCGGGATCTTCACAGCCCTTGAAACTGAAAGTATTCTGGAGGCGCAGGTTCCTCGTGGGTCCCCAGTATGTCTCTTTGTTTGCTTATACCCCACTTTCCTCCCCAAGAGGGTCCCAACGCGGCTTAAACAAAATTTTCCTCTCCTCCACTGGATCCTCCCAACAACCGCCCTGCAAGGACGGTTAGGTTGAGAGAGAGAGCAACTGGCCTACGGTCACAAGCGAGGTTGCCTGGCAGCCAAGCCTTGAACCCGGATCCTCGGCCGGACACTCTCAACCACAGCACCACTTGACGTCCCAAAGGGTCAGAAGACAGAGCAGGGCTGCATCTGTGGACCACAAAGCTCTTCTCCCCGCTGCGCGGCTTCCGGGCCAACGGTGACGCTGCTGTTGGTGACCCGCATGTAGGTCCAGCCTTCGCTCCCATGGATAAAGCGGATGTGACGGACACCAGCTGGGTAGTCGTGAAAGGTGTACGAAACCTGGTGACCAAAGAAGAAAGGGCAGCTTAAAACTCAACAAGTGGGGTGGGGGTGACAGGGGGCTCCCCCTTCCAACGGGGACGGGGCAGGGGGGGTGGTAACCGGTGCTCCCTCTAAGCTGAGTTAGTGTGAGCTAGCTCACAGTTTTTTAGCCGCTGGCTCACCCATTTTTGTCTTAGCTCAGGAAGGATGGCTCCAGAGCAAACTAAATTTATGCAGTAGCCAAATTGCTCTCTCACAACTTTAATACCAGTAGCTCACGAATGTGCCGCATGACGGAGTGAGCTCCCGTCTCTGGCCCCAGCTCCGCCAACCTAGCAGTTCGAAAGCAAGAAATTGCAAGTAGATAAATAGGTACCGCTTTGGTGGGATGGTAACAGGGTTCCGTGCGTCTTGGTGTTTAGTCATGCCGGTCACATGACCACGGAAACATCTTCGAACAGCGCTGGCTCTTCGGCTTGGAAACGGAGATGAGCACCGCAACCCTAGAGTTGGATTCGACTGGCTTTCGAGCAACGGAAACCTTTACCTTTACTAGCTCACAAAGTAGAACTTTTGTTCACCAGACTCCACAGCTTAGAGGGAGCATGGGTGGTAGGTAACTCCCTTCTGGTTGTAACCCCGGAGCCCCGGCTGCCTCAACCGGACCTCTCCCTCCTGTGTACCTCGCACCACTTATCCTCGCCTCGCTCTTGATTTCTGAGGAACTTTTCCGGGCAACATTCTTGCAGGACGCTGAAGTCTGCAGACAACAGTTTCACACACAACTCGTAACGGTAGTTGGGGCTGAAATAATACCTGCAGAGGAGACCAAAACAACGGCAACATGAGTCAGACGCATCAAGTGTCAGCACTGCAGTGCTGATGGGCCTGTGCCCTTGAGCATGGGACGGAGAAGGTGAAGACGTGCTTTTCTCCCTTTCTCACCACACAAGAATGCCCGTGCACTCAATGGAATTAAGAAGCAGGAGGCTTAGAGCAGATCAAAGGAAGTCCTTCTTCACCCAAAGAGTGCTTTAACGTGTGGAACTCACTGCCACAGGAAGTGATGGCGGCTACAAGCATGGACAGCTTCAAGAGGGGATTGGGTAAACATCTGGAGCAGAGGTCCTCAATGGCTTTCAGCCACAAGGTATAGATCAGTGATGGCAAACCTTTTAGAGACTGAGTGCCCAAGCTGCGACCCAAAACCACTTATTTATCGCAAAGTGCCAACACGGCAATTTAACCTGAATACTGAGGTTTTACTTTAGAAAAAATAACTCATACATTAACCTAAGATGATCCAAACAAAGTAAGGAAAGCAATCCCAAATGCTTTCATTTACTTAAAATTATTTGGCAGAGAATTCCACACTTTAATGATGGTCTGGGCCTGGCTGCGGCTATGGCACATGTGCCCACAGAGAGGGCTCTGAGTGCCACCTCTGGCACCCGTGCCATAGGTTTGCCACCACTGGTATAGATGGAACACTCTGTTTGGGGCAAGTGATGCTCTGTATTCTTGGTGCTGGAGAGGGCAACAGTGGGAGGCCTTCTGGTCCCACTGGTGGACCTCCTGATGGCACCTGGCAGTTTAGGCCACTGTGTGAGAGAGTGTTGGTCTGGATGAGCCATTGGTCTGATCCAACATGGCTTCTCTTACGTCTGGGGCAGTGATGCTCTATCTTCTTGGTGCTTGGGGGGCAACAGTGGGAGGCCTTCTGGTCCCACTGGTGGACCTCCTGATGGCACCTGGCAGTTTAGGCCACTGTGTGAGAGCGTGTTGGACTGGATGGGCCATAGGCCTGATCCAACATTGGCTTCTCTTATGTTCTTATGTCATAAGAAAGAAGGCCTGGTCCCAGGGTGCTTTCTGGCATCTGGGTGGGTGTTTCCAACCAGCACTTCCAGTAACCAAACCGAACTGGTTACCACTTTTTATTGTGAAGGGGAAGCGCACCCAGCTCCAGTACTCACCAGTCTTTCACCACGATATCCGGCTTGGTCTCATCCATCAGCTCGTCCCAGTAGCCTTCATCCTTTAAGGTGATCAGCTGGTGCTTGAAGGTGCACCTGAGACACAGATCAAAGCTGTTGAGTGAGGCCAGCAATGACTTTTTCCTGGACCCCCCTGCCCCCTGGCCCAAATGCAGCCCCCTGTAAAGGACTAGCCCCACCCCGCTCTGAATGCAAAGAGAGAGGGGGAAGGGACTTGCAAGAGGAGATTGGATTTATGCCCCACTCTTCACTACCTGAAGGAGTCTCAGAGCAGCTTACAAACTCCTTCCCCTTCCCCTCCCCACAACAGACACCCTGTGAGGTAGGCAGGGCCGAGAGAGCTCTTTCGAAGACTGCTCTGAGAGAACTTGTGACTGACCCGAGGTCACACCAGCAGCTGCATGTGGAGGAGGAGTGGAGAATCAAACCCGGTTCTCCCAGATTAGAGTCCGCGCTCCTAACCACACCAAACTTTTAAAAAAACTGGGTACCCATGGAGGCATTTCTCGGGGGAGTTAGTGCTGTCTTCTCTGTTTCTCCCTTGCGAGCCTGAGATTTAGTTTACTTATTTAATTCATTTATACCCCGCCTTTCTCTCCAACTGGGAACGAAAGTGGCTTATATCTTTCCCCTCTCATCCATTTTATCCTCCTAACAACCCTGTGAGGCAGGTGAGGCCGAGAGTGTGTTTCTGGCCCAAGGTCTCCCAGCAGGCTTTCATGGAAGAAGTGGGGATTCGAACCCAGGATTCCCAGCTACTAGTCCAACACTCTTTAACTGCTCCACCACACTGGCTCTCAATTCATTTCCCAAGGTGGAACTTCTCAAGTGACCCAGCAGAAGAAGCCACTGATGGAGGCTGGACAACCTGCCATTTCACAGGCTGTCTGTTGTGGGGAGGGGAAGGGAAAGGAGTTTGTAAGCCGCTCTGAGACTCTTTCGGGTAGTGAAGGGCGGGGTATAAATCCAATCTCTTCTTCTCCTCCTCCTCTTCTGTATTCTGTACAGATGTATTCTGATGGGAAAACAGACACATCAATGATTTGTAAATTTAGTCAAAAACAGCAAGAGTCCATGAGCACCTGAAAGACTAACAAAATATGTGGCAGGGGAGGAGCTTTCGGGAGTCACTGCTCAATTCTTCAGATAGCAAATTTAGGTAAATGCAAACCAGAGGCATTTACAGGAACCAGATTCCTGTTTGTAGATTATAGATACTTTGTGCACTGTGTTTACCAATCATGGACAATTTTACAATATCCCCACTGCTTGGCTGATTGCCACTCTTTCCACTTTCCTGTGGTAGTTACCAGGTTGACATGTTTGGTAAATTATGACTCGCACAGTAATTGTTGTCTTTATCTTTAATGAGCCTGTCTCTTTGGATTGAACCTCTGTCTTGAAGGGCTTTCAAATCTGACATTTTAAACCTATGATGACACGTACAGAAAACTTCTTTAACAGATCATTCATTACAAACACGCAGGCACAGTAAATTAAATCTTTGTGGCCTTCCTTCTTGGGAATTCACGTACAAAATTTCAGTTCTGCAGGTGAACTCCCAACAGTAAAGACCTGAGTTCCCCTTCTCTCATTCCCAATTAGTTGCAATTAAAAGTCCTCACAAATGATAGGCGACAAAGCATTTCCGAATTTGGGGGAAATACACATCGGCTTCCGGTGCTTTCTCAATCTTCCACACTTTCTTTTTCTTCGACTTGAACTCCCAGAACTTCAAGCCCTCTGCACAAAGACAGAAAACGTAGAATGGGAGGGGGAAGACTTTGAGTGGGACACAGCAGCAGCCAAAGGGTTAACCCTACCCAGGGGAAAGAGGACAGCTTCAGGGTTTCAAGCAGGCCTCAGCCTGCGATTTACAGGAAAGTCCTTTAAAAGGTAAGCAAAGGGGGCAGATTTTTCTAGTGGTTACAGCCAATGCTCCCTCTAAGCTGTGGAGTCTTGTGAGCAAAAATTCTGCTTTGTGAGCTAGCCCCATTAAAATTGTGAGCGAGCTATTTGGCTACTTGCATCAATTAGTTTGCTCTGGAGCCCTCCTCCCTGAGCTCAGACAAAAATGTGTGAGCCAGAGGCTAAAAAACTCTGAGCCAGCTCACACTAACTCAGCTTAGAAGACAGAAGAGAAGAGAGGAGTTTGGATTATACCCCGCCCTTCACTACCCAAAGGAGTCTCAGAGCTAGCTCACACTAACTCAGCTTAGAGGGAACACTGGTTACAGCACAGCTGGCAAGGTCTGAGGACTCCTAGAATTCGGTTTCCGACCTCACTTTTAAAAACGTTTACACATTCAGGAAAAAAAATTAGAAATTAAAGATCGAGCCTTAAGAGAGCAATCCAAAACTATAGGATATCTGTCAATTTTGAAAGCGTTATTTGGGAATCAGTAATTGTATCTCTGCCTTCTCTTATCTGCATTACATTTTTAAGGGTGAAGCCTGTTTGTCTTCATCCCCCCCCCCCAAAACCCTGGGAAAGGCAGTTGTGTGCTGAAAGCTGACAAGGGAATTCTTAGTGCCAAAGTACTGCTTCCTGGATTCTCTGCAGGTAGCCGTGATGGATTAACTGGCATCAATTTTTCATCTACCGAGGCCTTTTAAGTTAATTGCATTCATATAATTGCAGACTTTAGCTAAGTGTCTCAACTCTTGAAAATTTCTTTTGCTTCCCTCCTTTTTTGCAATTCCGATTTTTTAAACAATCAGTCCTTGACACCGCAGAGCAGAACTACGCATTCAGAAGTGTGGCGGGCCACTTCGTTGCTCCCCCTTTTTAAAGAAAGCTTCTGCACGTATGAAACGCATTCAGCAGCATAAGGTGTTCGATCGTAGAATCAGAGGATCCCAGAGTTGGAAGGGTCCTTAGAGGTCATCTAGTCCAACCCCCTGCCCGATGCAGGATCAGCCTACAGCATCCCTGGCCGGTGTTGGTCCAGCCGCTGCTTAAAGACTGCCAGTGAGGGGGAGCTCACCACCTCCCTACAGCAGCCGATTCCACTATTGCACAACACTTACTATAAAAAAGTTTTTCCGAAGATCCAGAAGAAGAAAAGATTGGATTTATACCCCGCCCTTCACTACCCAAAGGTGTCCCAGAGCGGCTTGTAAACTTTCCCTTCCCCTCCCCACAACAGACGCCCTGTGAGGTAGGTGGGGCTGAGAGAGCTCTTGACAGAAACGGCTCTTTTTCAAGAACAGCTCTTATCAGAACTATGGTTTGCCCACGGTCATCCAGCAAGGTGCAAGTGGAGGAGTGGGGAATCAAACCCGGTCCAGATTAGAGTCTGCGCACTTAAGCACTACACCAGCTGGTACCTTCCCGCCCTTAATTTAAACCCATCATTGCAAGTCCTCTCCACTGCTGCCAACAGGAACAGCTCCCTGCCCTCCTCTAAGTGACGGCCCTTCCGATACTTCAAGAGAGCCATCCTGTCCCCCCTCCGCCTCCTCTTCTCCAGTCAGTACATTCCCACGTCCCTCAGCCTTTCCTCACAGGGCTTGGTCTCCAGGCCCTTGATCATCCTCGTCTCTCTCCTTTGCACATGCTCCTAACCAATATTCCCTCTAAGCTGCGGAGTCTCGTGAGCAAAACTTCTACTTTGTGAGCTACTGGCATTGAAGTTGTGAGCGAGCGATTTGGCTGCTGCATAAATTAGTCTGCTCTGGAGCTATCCTTCCCCAGCTGGGACAAAATTGTGTGAGCCGGAGGCTAAAAAACTGTGAGCTAGCTCACACTCACTCAGCTTAGAGGGAACACTGCTCCTCACCTCCGTTCCCTGCACAGAAGAGAATTCAAACATCCAGTCCCCCCCCCACAAGACATATATCTATGTTCTGAAGTGGTACGAGCCGAGGAGGACTGTACCAGTGTTCCCTCTAAGCTGAGTGAGTGTGAGCTAGCTCACAGTTTTTTAGCCTCCGGCTCACACATTTCTTGTCTCAGCTCAGGGAGGAGGGCTCCCGAGCAAGCTAATGTACGCAGTCGCCACATCGCTCACTCACGACTTTAATGCCAAGAGCTCACAAAGTAGAGTTTTTGCTCACAAGACTCCATACCTTAGAGCAGTGGTGGCGAACCTATGGCCCGGGTGCCAGAGGTGGCTCTCAGAGCCCTCCCTGTGGGCACGTGTGCCATCTCCCCAGCCAAGCCCAGACCATCATTAAAGTGTCGAATTCTCTGCCAAATAGTTTTAAGTAAATGAAAGCATTTGGGATTGCTTTCCTCACTTTGTTTGGATCATCTTAAGTTAATGTATGAGTTGTTTTTTCTAAAGTAAAACCTCAGAATTCAGGTTAAATTGCCGTGTTGACACTTTGCCATAAATAAGTGGGGTTTGGGTCGCAGTTTGGGCACTCAGTCTCTAAAAGGTTTGCCATCACTGGCTTAGAGGGAACATTGGACTGTACCACGTGCCGCTTCCGAATGCGTAGCTCTGCTTTAAGCGACCCGATACTTTCCCCGTTTTGCAAATCTCCGGGTACAGACTTTCTCCGCACGGGTTCTTGATCAGATTCCTCTTCATCACAGAGAGGAAGTAGAAGGTCTTCCAGTCCGGGGCGCTTCCGTCGGAGGCCAGGAGGCGATAGCCCTCCCGCTGGCACTTGCGTTTCCACAGGGCAGGCAGATCCACCACGGAGCGCCACTGCGAGCAGACCAGCCGACAGCTGCCGACCAGATCCCCGCCGGGGACCCGGGACAGGACGTCCTCCAGGATGTCGGGGGGCAGGTCGCTGATGGTCACCATCTTCCTCCAAAGAGGTCTCAGCCAACTGGAAGGAAGAACCGGCAGATCAGCCGAAATCGGGCAAAGGCTGCCTCGGGCAGGAGGCCGAGAGGGGAACTAGACGCAGCTGGGCCCACCCAGAGAAGGCCAAGGGGAGAAAAAACAACCCTGGGAAAACCCGGAAAGCAAACATAAGAACATAAGAGACGCCAATGTTGGATCAGGCCAAGGACCCATCCAGTCCAACACTCTGTAACCCACAGTGGCCAGAAATACCAGGGGCCATCAGGAGGTCCACCAGTGGGGCCAGGACATTAGAAGCCCTCCCACTGTTGACCCCCTCCAAGCACCAAGAAGACAGAGCATCACTTGCCCCAGAGCCCCTATCTATACCTTGTGGCTAATAGCCACTGATGGACCTCTGCTCCATATGCTTATCTAATTCCCTTTTGAAGCCATCCATGCTTGTAGCTGCCACCACTTCCTGTGGCAGTGAATTCCATGTGTGAATCACTCTTTGGGTGAAGAAGGACTTCCTTTTATCCGTTCTAACCCGACCGCTCAGCAATTTCACGGAGTGCCCACGAGTTCTTGTATTGTGAGAAAGGGGGGAAAGTACCTCTTTCTCTACCTTCCTTCTCCTTTTATCTCTGCAAGTTGTTTTCGCTTGTAGGAAACAATCCCAAGGCACTTAGAACTTTTAAATGCCATAACTGTCAGACATGAGATCCAGGTGGCCAGCTGTGTTGAAGCGGTAGAACAGCGGCCCCTTTAAGACCCACAGAGTTTTATTCACTGGACTCTAAATTTCCGTCAGACATGGCAATTCTACATGCGAACGGAAGACTCCAGTGTCGGACTGGAGTCCAGGGCTGCCTCCTTTGCATGGTAGGGCCTGCCCTGGGGTAAGAATATCAGAAAAGAGCGGGGGGGGGGGCGCGGTGCTAGAGTAACCTCTCCCTGGTTGCCATAGCTGAGGTCTCTCTGTGTAAAATAGTTCCTTTTGTCCCCCGGAAGCTACTCCAGCCCAGACGATGGAGTGCAGCATGAGCATCAATTCAAGAAACAGACAAGGAAGACGGGGATTGGCCCGTCTAAGCCGCTGATAACTCACCTGGGGCCTTGGCCGATAACCTTCGTGATAAATATTAATTCAGCCGTTTAGTTTTTTAAAGGTGCCATTAGAGGCATGGGGTTTTGTGCTAACTCACCTACCCACCTCAAAGTGCGGAGAGAGAGAGAGAGAGAGAGAGAGGTAGCCCTGGGATGTGTATAAACTTATCATTAGCTCCTACTGGCCAACTTGACAGGGCTGGTGTGTCAGGATCACCCAGAAAATGCCAGTGGTGGCCCTCCCTTTACTAAGAAAAAGAAGAAGAGATTGGATTTATATCCCACCCTTCACTACCCAAAGGACTCTCAGAGCGGCTGACATTCTCCTTTCCCTTCCCTTCCCCACAACAGACACCCTGTGAGGTAGGTGGGGCCAGGAGAACTTTCTCGAGGACTGCTCTTGAGAGAACAACTCTGAGAGAACTTGTGACTGACCCAAGGTCACACCAGCAGCTGCACGTGGGGGAGTGGGGAATCAAACCCGGTTCTCCCAGATTAGGGTCTGCGCTCCTAACCACTACACCGAACTATAAAACAAGAGTGTACTTGAGCAAGAAGAAGAAGAGAAGGAGGAGATTGGATTTATATCCCACCCTTCACTACCCAAAGGACTCTCAGAGCGGCTGACAATCTCCTTCCCCTTCCCCTCCCCATAACAGACACCCTGTGAGGCAGGTGGGGCTGGGAGGCCTCTCTCGAGGACTGCTCTTGAGAGAACAACTCTGAGAGAACTTGTGACTGACCCAAGGTCACACCAGCAGCTGCACGTGGGGGAGTGGGGAATCAAACCCGGTTGTTCCAGTCTGCACTCTTAACCATACACCAAACCGGCTCTAAGTATTGGGGGTCCTCAGTGTAAAGTCCTGCTGCTTGGCACGGCTGTGCCAACACCCCCTATATATAGGGGGGGTGGCAGTGCCCCTCCTCCCCCACCTGCTTGGCAGCGAAAACACTGACCCCCCCCCCGCTGGCCCTAGCGACGGTACCCGACAGGGGCGCACGTCTAAGAGAGCAGGTCCCGCGCGGACGAGTTGCGGGCCAGAAGGGAGAGAGGGGGGCACTCTGCACATGGTCAGAGGTGCTACAGGCCTCCGGCGCAAAGCGGTTCCGGGGCGGAGCTCCGAGGCAAACGAGGACCCCGCTGGGTCCCCGACGGTACCCATCGAGACGCACACGGAGAAGATCCCCTGCGGGCGCTACCTGGTTGGGGAGCGGGCCGGTGACATCGGGCGCCTGCGGTGGGCTGCCGAGCGGCCGGATATGGAGCGCCAGCCCGGGGAGCGGAGGCCCGCCCCTCGCCGCGCCTCCTCCGGGGCGGCCCTGCCAGGGCACCACCCTCTAGAGGAGGGGATCCCGGCCGGGCCCTTTGCAGGCCGCGACGCGCTCCGTGCGCCTGGACGGTCCGGCCGCAGAGCGCCTCGCTCGTCTTCTTCCCGACCGGCCGCTCCCAAATCCTGAGCCCCCTTTGGGTTCCCGGGAGTCGCCCAGTCCCGCGGGGCTCGGCCCCGGACCCTGTTTCCCGCCGGCCGCCTCGGAAGAGGCAAACGGGCCCGGCGGAGCAGCGCGCTCCCGGAGTCCTCCTGCACAACCCGCCTTCCAGCCTTTGGGGCGCGGGGATCGCCCGCCGGCAAGAGCGCCCCCGAGCGTGAGCAGAGGGCCCGCCGGAGAGGAGAGCGCGCGTCGAGGCAGGCCTCGAGGAGCCTCGGTGCAGAGTGCCTCGGGTTGCCAACTCCAGGCGGGAGATTCCTGGCCTAATTGCAGGAAAGATTGGAGGGGTTTTAGGGGGGACGTCGTCCACGTGTTCCTCCACCTCCCCCCACCCCTCTGTGCCGGTACTGACCTCGCTCTTGGTTAAAATCCGGCCCTCCGCTTCCGTAATCCGGTGGGACTCACACAGCTTGCATCTTGTCTCTCTCAGAGGGGCACCGGGATGGGGGGGGGGATGGCATAAAAGGGGGCATTTGACAGTAACTGACTGGGAGACTTTGGGCGGGGTCCTTACTTATTCGCTTGCTTCATTTACCACCCTCCTTTCCCCCCAACGGGGACCCGGAGCGGCTGACATCTTCGCCTCTCCTCCAGTTTCCTCCTCACAACAACCCTGCGCGGTAGGCTAGACTGACTGGCCCGAGCCTCCGTGGCAGAGTGGGGACTCGAACCTGGGTCTCCCGGATCCCAGTCCGAGGCTTTTAACTGCGACACCAGGTTGGCTGTCTTTGATGGGGCTTAGCCCCCCCCGCACACACCTGTTTTCACCGCTGAGGGCTCAGGCAGGCCTCAGAGATGCTCAACTGCACCGAAGATCAGCGTGTTCCTGAGCGCATGCAGAGTTTCAAGCTGAGTGTGCAAGAACTTTGCTCCGGAACCCGCTTCCAGCATTGGGCCTCAGATGGAACTGGGGCAATCCCCGGGTGACCGGGTCAGCCGAATCTGGAAAAGGGGTCCCCAAGGGCCATCCAGCCCAACCCCCTGCACAATGCAGGCGAACCACCCCTGCTCTACGCTCGTGGGGTGGCAAGCGGACTCGATCCCCACGGCTAGGCCTGGTCGGTCAATTGGCCTTTCCCAGAGGCGGGCGGAGCTTCGTCTACGCGTCATCGCATGCAAATAAGCCTGCGCAGGGATGCCCCCTCCTTCGCCCCGCCCCCGAGGGAGGTGGCCCCGGCAGCCCCGCCCAGAAGAGGGAGGAGCCTCCCCCGCCTTCACCTCGTCTTGCAGCATCATCGTCGGGGCTTCGCCTGCCGAGCTTCTGCGGCTGGGAGCCGAGCGGGGCGGAGACCGCGCTCCCCCCTCGAGCCGCTGGGGGGCCTCGTCGCGGTCCGGGTAAGCCCCGGCAGGGAATTGGGTGGGCGAGCGGGCGGGGGCTCTCAGGAGGAGATGTGCCGTGCCCCTGGCAGGCAGCGATGGAGAGTCCCCGGGGGGCTCTTGACGGGCAGCCGGCGTCCTCAGGGTTAACTCTCCGGTGAGGGCGGGGTGGGAACACGAAGGGGGCCGTAGCCCGAAATTGGGGGGCGGTTGTCCGGCGCTACGATCTCACGGTGGTGCTAGGGGCTGTAAACCCAATTCCAAGGAGCATGCGCTGAATAAGGGTCACACCCAGTGCCCGCCTAGTGTGCACAACAGCCCTGTGAGGCAGGCTTGCCTCTGACTCCCTTGAATCCCACGGCTTGAAGTAAAGGAGTTTTGATGCAGCCTCCAAATAGAATGACACGGCCTCATCTGGATGCACAGTTCAAATGCCCAGGAAGCCTGTGGAACCGAATGAGTGTGGCAAGCGGTACAGGATTGGGTTGTCAGTGGTCAAGGGCTTGCCAATCATCCCGGGGCTTTTGCGCTCATTGGCTGGAGCTGTGGAAGGTGGGAGAAAGTTGCTGTTTACTGGGCAGTTAGACTCTGCTGAATGGTTGGCCTTATGATTACATTTAAAAAGATGGGGAATTAGCCAATTTGCTTATTTTTTATAAGTAAAAATGGGAAATTTAGAGCAGGAAGCACGGAATACCTTAATGGGCTGAAAGCGCCCCAGAGCACTCTTTTCCGCAACCTCTTGCAGCCAAATAGCTGTCGATTGCTGCCCATTTACTTCTTGTGCTTCTGTCCAGGCAGCTGATCATCACATCCTGAAACCAGTTTCGCACCCACCACCTCGTGCTCCAAGTAAGCCTACCGCTCTCCCCCATCCCATATTCCAGTCTTTGCGAACAGTGGGGTTTTTTACTTCTGCATCTGGTGCTCCGTGGCGACGGCCCTTCTCCGTTTCTCCTTCGGCTGTTGCCTGCAAAGGAAAATGGTCCACATCAGAGACTTGCCCAGCGACATCCTCCTCGATCTGCTCTCTCGGGTCCCCGGGAGGGACCTGATCCGCAACTGCCGGCTGGTTTGCTTGCAGTGGAGAGATCTAGTGGACCTGGCCACGCTGTGGAAACGCAAATGCTTGCAAGAAGGCTTTGACCCAGAAACGCCAGACCGGAGCGTCCTGGACTGGAAGATCTTCTATTTCCTCTGTTTTATGAAGAGGAATTTAATCCAGAACCCCTGTGGTGAAGGTTTGTTGTCCCCCATACATATGCAAGAAAAAAAGTCTCCCAGAGAGCCAGTTTGGTGTCGTGGTTAGGAGTGCGGACTCTAATCTGGGAGAACCAGGTTTGATTCCCCACTCCTCCACATGCAGCTGCTGGTGTGACCTTGGGTCAGTCACAAGTTCTCTCAGAGCTGTTCTCTCAGGAGCAGTCCTCAAAAGAGCTCTCTCAGCCCCACCTACCTCACAGGGTGTCTGTTGTGGGGAGAGGAAGGGAAAAGAGATTGTAAGCCACTCTGAGACTCCTTCAGGTAGTGAAGGATGGGGTATAAATCCAATCTCCTCTTCTTCCTCTTCTTCTAAAATTCATTTTTTTCCAGCCCATCTTTTTAAACTGTTGGGGGTCTTAACCATTTCAGAAATATCACACGGTATAGCCATCCCGAGGTCGTACTGTTTCCGAGTGCAGGTAGGAAGAACTGTGACTCTTTCACCACGTAGAAACCAATGTAGCGTAAGTGTCAGGTTAGGCCTGGAGAGACTTGAGTTCCAATCCCCACACCTTGTTCGTTTGGGGGGGGGGGTGAGGAAAAGAATGAAAACCACACCGTTTCTCCATTTGCATTCTGAAATGGTACAATTCCCACGGTATTGCCCTAGTTTCTGACAGCGTGGTTTGGTTCTGCGTCGTCAGGAATCCATTGTTAATGGCAGCAAAAAACGTGGGATCTAAAGAAATTTCACAGAGATGAGAGACGGTGCTCCTTCCCCTTCGCAGGGGCAACCGCTCTGCTGCGACAAGAACCACTCAAAGGCTCTCCCTTCCCTGACCCCCTCCCCTTTGTGGCTTTTCCTCAGATGGCTTCAACTTCTGGGAAATCGAGTCGCATGAAGGAGACAAGTGGCGGATCGAAGAGCTGCCCGGAGCTCGGAGAAGGGACTTTCCCCGCCATCCCGTTCCAAAATATTTTGTCACTTCTCAAGGGTGAGGCATGTTGGCTTACTCAGTCAGCTATCGGTTTTCTTTGTGACGGTTGCAAGACAGCTGCTGTCTCCTGTAAGGTCTGTAGGACCAACTTGGCTCTCGACTTGAGCCAAGACTTTCTGGGCAAAGCTCCAGAAGCGCTTTCTGCACTCTGGAAGGTGGAAAGGCAAGGCCAGGTATAATAAGACTCCCAAGAACAGCCTTGCTGAACCAGAACAATTGTCCATTTAGGCCAGCATCTTGTTTCCAGGAGTGGACCACAAGACGGACCCAGAAGGTCTGCAGGAAGGGGCACAGAGGACAAAGTGTAGTGGTTAGGAGCACGGATTCTAATCTAGGAGAACCAGGTTTGATTCCCCACTCCTCCATATGCAGCTGCTGCTGTGACCTTGGGTCAGTCACAAGTTCTCTCAGAGCTGTTCTCTCAAGGGCAGTCCTCGAGAGAGCTCTCTCAGCCCCACCTTTCTCTGTGATTAGAGCTCCTCACTTTTGGCCAGTTTGGTGTAGTGGTTAAGTGCGTGGACTCTAATCTGGGAGCTGTTCTCTCAAGGGCAGTCCTCGAAAGAGGTCTCTCAGCCCCACCTTTTCCTGTGGTTAGAGCTTCTCACTTTTGGCCAGTTTGGTGTAGTGGTTAAGTGCGTGGACTCTAATCTGGGAGCTGTTGTCTTAAGGGCAGTCCTCGAAAGCGCTCTCTCAGCCCCACCTACCTCCCAGGGTGTCTGTTGTGGGGAGGGGAAGGGAAAGGAGATTGTAAGCCACTCTGAGGCTCCTTCGCATAGTGAAGGGGGATTATATATCCAATCTCTTATTATTATTGTTGTTGCAACTGGCATCCAGAGATATACTGCCTCTGAATGTGGAGGTTCCATTTCTAGCTGTCACGGACCCTGTCCTTTCTGAACTAGTTTAATCCCCCACTGAAGAGCCATGTGGGTCTGACTACCTCCAGGAAGGGTGAGGAAGATATAGGTTTCCCAGGTCCCCCCTGGCCAGGGATAAGAGGGTAGGGTTGCCAGATCCAGGCTGGGGAACTCCTGGAGATTTGGGGGTGGAGCCTGGGGAGGACAGGGACCTCTCAGTGGGGTGCAGTGCCACAGAGCCCACCTTCCAAAACATCCGTTTTCTCCTGAGGAACTGATCTCTGGAGACAGTCTGGAGACACGTTTTAATTCCAGAGGTTTCCCAGGTCTCACCTGGAGGCTGGCATCCCAAGGAAGAGAACCTGAGAGCTTCCATAGTAGAAATTTGGGTCAGGACACCGCCCTCCTCTGAGGCCACAATTGGGGGCCTCCTGCCTTCCCCTCCCTCCTACGGTTGCCCCAAATGTTGCAAACTTTGCTGGCCTTCTGGCTGGTGGCATTTTTACATTGTCGTCACGATGTGTCTCCCAGAACGGATAAAAAGAAGTCCTTCTTCACCCAAAGGGTGATTAACACATGGAATTCACTGCCACAGGAGGTGGTGGCTACAAGCATGGACGGCTTCAAGAGGGAATTAGATAAGCACATGGAGCAGAGGTCCATCAGTGACTATTAGCCACAAGGTACAGATAGGAATTCTCGGTCTGGGGCAAGGGATGCTCTGTATTCTTGGTGCTTGGGGGGGGGGGGGCTTTTAGTCTAGACTGCTGGACCTCCTGATGGCACCTGGTATTTTTGGCCACTGTGTGACAGAGTCAGGGACGGAGTAACCATTAAGCAGACTAAGCACATGCTTAGAGCACCAGGGCCAAAGGGGGCACCACAAAGTTGGGAAAAGGGTGAAAAGAACTTTATGTAACCCAAGCCTGGCTTAGTTTGTACAGTCTATTGTGTTATCAAATGAATAAATTTTTGTATTGCTGCAACCTGCATGGTATATCTGGTCAGACAGGTCAACGACTAAAACGGACTGGGTAAGTGTGGAAAGGAAGGGGGCACCAAGATTGGTCAGTGCTGTGGGCACCAGTAAGCCTTCATCCGCCCCTGGACAGAGTGTTGGACTGGATGGGCCATTGGCCTGATCCAACACTGGCTTCTCTCACGTTCTTGCGTTCAGGCCCAGCACGAAGCACCAGCTCATCAGCTTAAAGGAGGAAGGCTACTGGGATGAACTGATGGACGAGACCAAGCCGGATATCGTGGTGAAGGATTGGTGAGTGGTGGGGCAGGGGTGGTGTAGAGGACAATATGGAAAATTAGGGGAGGAAAGAACAGGGGGGGAAAATCTCGGGAGGCGGCAGTACGCCGAAATGAGTCGGGGGGGGGGGTTGCGAGCCTCATCCTGATCTCCAGAGTGAATTGAGCCGTTAAAACAGCCCCGGATGGCACAGACTGATAGCTTTTGTTGAACACCCGGCTGCCAATTCTGCAGGGCTGGTTGACTCAGCTTCCTCTTGGGGGTGGTCCATTCCAGGATGAGCACCCCACCGGAAACTTTCCCTGGTATTGAAAGAAGGAGAGACGAAGAACTTTAAGCAGCGGCTGGACCAACACTTGTCAGGGATGCTCTAGGCCAGTGATGGCGAACCAAGTGCCCAAACTGCAACCCAAAACCCACTTATTTATTGCAAAGTGCCAACGTGGCAATTTAACCTGAATACTGAGGTTTTACTTTAGAAAAAACAACTCCTACATTAACTTAAGATGATCCAAACAAAGTAAGGAAAGCAATCCCAAATGCTTTCATTTACTTAAAATTATTTGGCAGAGAATTCGACACTTTAATGATGGTCTGGGCCTGGCTGGGGCGATGGCACGTGTGCCCACAGAGAGGGCTCTGAATGCCACCTCTGGCAACCGTGCCATAGGTTCGCCACCACTGCTCTAGGCTGATCCTGCAGGGGGGCCCTCCCAACACTGTGATTCTGTGATTCAGTATTAGGCAGCTTTAAGTGTTCCAGAAGTTTCAGCCTCCCCCTCCCCGCCCTGCGCTCGCACCATTTTCTGTTCCCATTTTCTGTTCCTGCAGTGGCCCCGTGGGGCCTCCGTTTGCCTCCTTGGGGGCTCCACGTGTATTGACGGAACACAGCTGAGTTTCCCCCGTGGAACAAATAGCACTCCCCGTAGGCTGTTTAGTTGGAAGAACAGCAGAAGGCTGAAGCCTTCGTCTTCTCGTATGTTCTGGTCCTGATCCACGTGCCTGAGCTCCCGGCAGACATTTGCCCCGGAGGAGACATAAGATGTAGTCTGGGGCCCTCTGATCTCTCTCTCTCTGCCAGAAAACATTTGAGCACACCAAAGCCTCCGTCTTCCTTTGCCCACATCCTGCCTGGGTCGAGAGCAGGGCAGCCTGAGCGAGCTGGACTCTGCCCTGTGTACCCTCTAAGCTAAGTTAGTTCTTTAGCCTCCGGCTCACACATTTGTGCCTTAGCTCAGGAAGGAGGGCTCCAGAGCAAACTAATTTTTGCAGCAGCCAAATGACTTGCTCACAACTTTAATGCCAGGAGCTCACAAAGCAGAATTTTTGCTCACAAGACTCCACAGCTTAAAGGGAGCATTGCCCACAAGAGAAAGGGGGACTGGTGGTTCTGCTTGGCACCTAAAAAGTCTTCCAGGTTGGGCCTTCTCATGCCTCCCTGGTCTGAGCCAAACGATGCTTCTGCTACCCTGTTCCCAGCAAAAAACCATCCCTGTTTCTGCTTCTCTTTCACCTAACCCCACCCCCCTCCTGCAGTCCGACAGCCTCTCATGTTCAGACCCCCCCCCCTTTAGCCTTCCCCCACTCTGCTGCCACCCGAGCTGCTGCAAAGGTGGACGAGCACTGCCAAGGTAGTGATGTGAAGCCCTACCCACGCACCCACCAAGCCCTGCTGGCTCAGCATCCGTCTCAGAGCTGTAGACGCCTTCTGCCTTCTCCTTCCAAACTAGGTTCCACTGTGGTTGCCCCTGCCGGTACCAGCTGCGCGTGAAGCTGCTGTCCGCCGACTCCAGAGTCCTCCAAGAATTTCGCCCCAAAGACGTGATTGTGGAGCAGTGCTCGGACAGGGAGTGGCGTGAGGTAGGCGTCCAGATTTTGCTCGGGTGTGTGTGTGTGTGTCCATCAGCTCAACCCAGGAAAGAGCCCCTGGGAGGGGGCTGTTCTCTACCCTTATGTGGGTACCTCTCCCTCTGTCACCTTTAGGTCTCCTACACGTTCCACAACTATCCTGCTGGGGTGCGCCATGTACTCTTTAAACACGGAGGTCAGGGTTGGTACGGCATGCGGATCACCAATAGCAGCGTCACCGTCGGCCCGGAAACTGGAGAGTGACACAGATCGCTTCAGAGAAGCCCCGCCTGAGGAGAGTTTCGGCTGTCTTTCTCTGCAGTTGTATGCTTGCATCTGCCAGCTATATCCGATCCCTGAGCATTGCTGGCTAATGCAACTGGGGGGCTCCAGTGGTTATGCGGAGGGGGGGATAGCGGGCAGGAGGATTTGGAAAGCTGACTCTTCAGTTGAGTCGGGGACGGGTGGTAGACCCACACAAGCCTCCTAGTGAGGTGCAGGGTGGGGGTGGAGCCCTTAACCTCCCCCACCCCCCACCCTGAGCAAGGATTGCCTTCTTTTTGGTAAGACTCCCGTGTCGAACAGTTGTATTGCGCTGTGTATTGAAATTCAGCAGGGAAAAGTTGTTGCATTTCTGCCAGGTTTTTTTTTTTTTTTGCACGTGCAACGTTCATAGCAAAGAAGCACATTCCTTTTTAAAAATAAAATAAAAGGGCCTGCTTTATTGCATTTTTTAAAAAACTTCCATGATAAATGACAAGCATGAACAGCTGATCTCCAGTTCTCTCATCTGCATCAGAAATTGTGGTCTTGGGGACAGTCGTAAAATAAGGACGGGGTGACACCGAAGCCAGCCCAAATGCTTTGCTGGAGTCGTGGGAAGGCCTCGCACCTTTCACAGGACGCTCTGTTGAAAACAAAGACCCAACTGTGCGGTTTCACCCATGTTTTCAGTCCCCCTCTAGAAGCAGCAGCCTACCTCCCAAGACCGTCGTCGTGGCAAGATCGGCTCATGGTGTTGAACGGTTGGAGCGGGGACTTTTCAGGCCCCGAGGGCTGCCTTCCTTCTGGTCTACAGATCTCAAGCACAGAAAGCGGAAGGAAACAGGGACGCATCCTTCGGTCCCGGGTGGGGGTGGGGGCAGCCCTTTCCTGTGGCATGGTACATTTTTGTTTTTGACAAAATAAAATAGAAAATAACCTTCCGTGGCTTGAAAGGTTGGATGTGTTTGGAGATGGCTTGTTAGCGGTATGCAGGAGAGCCCTGTCTCTGCCCGGGCTGTATAAACTGCCAAGGCCTGGAAACTCCAGAGCGGACAATTGAAGTGAGCAAAGATGCGCTCGTTGGTGTTTGTCTCTCTGAGCAAAACAGAACTTCACCTGGGACAAAAAGCGAGGGCAGGGTTGTGTGCGAAGAGACAGTTCTGCAAAAGTTGGGCGGGGGCAAAGCTAAGAACCGGACTGTTTCTGAGAAGAAAAAGAAGGGTGCGAATCGAGAGGGGCTGATTGGGGCTGGTTGTCTTCAGGGACTGCCGGCAGTTCAGCTGTGGGACTTTCTCAGGTGTGCAGAGAGATATGAGGGAGTTACCCTTGAAGTGGCTTTTGTTACAGATACCTTGTTTGGGGGAGAGGAGGAGGAGGAGATTGGATTTACGCCCCGCCCTTCACTACCCAAAGGAGTCTCAGAGCATCTTACAATCTCCTTTCCCTTCCCCTCCCCACAACAGACACCCTGTGAGGTAGGCAGGGCTGAGAGAGCTCTTGACAGAAACTGCTCTTTTTCAAGAACAGCTCTGCCAGAACTACGGCTTGCCCAAGGTCATCCAGCCAGGTGCAAGTGGAGGAGTGGGGAATCAAACCCAGTTCTCCCAGATTAGAGTCCACACTCTTAACCACACCAAACCGGGGGAACCAGAGCCTGCCTTAATGTGTGCCTTGTAGTGACATCTGAAATCAAACCACAGTGTTTTGTTGGCACCCCGGCCAGGAATACAAAGGAAGACAAAGCTACTCCACTGACCAACAGCACCTCATTCTTATCTGGACTCAGTTTCTGGGCCTCCATCCATCCCATTACCTCCCCCAGGCTCTTATTCAGGAGGACTTCCATAGACCCACCTGGACTTGACCATATTCAGCGAACAGCATCAATTAGCCCACCTGGCACAGAACTGTCTACTCTCAGCTGTATGAGGTCAGAACATCTTCCAGGAAAGTACTTTGTTTTTCCAGAGTAGCACAGATCTTCACCATATATATAGTTCCATGGAAATGCAATTATTTCCAAGGCTAGACAAGCCCGTGCTAATTGGAATGCCACCTGGGCATGTAGCTGCACAACTACTAGAAGTAATGACTAACTAGTACCCACAACCAATGCTCCCTCTAAGCTGTGGAGTCTTGTGAGCAAAAATTCTACTTTATGAGCTACTGCCTGCCCACAAGCGCGCTGCTCTGCCCGGTTTCCCTCTCCAGCTCGCCCCGCCCGGACCGGGAAGGAAGGAGGCCGCCTTCGCCAGCTTGCCGGTCCGCCCCGGACGAGGAGGAGGAGGAGGCGCTGGCGGCAGCTAGACTGCTGGAGGAAGCGGCTTCTCCGGGCTCGGCTTCCCCACCGGCCGGCCTGCAAGTCAGCTGCGCCCCCGGCCCCCCAGCCCAGGTGAGCCCCGGCGGGACGGGGGGGGGCAGAGAAGGGGTGCCCCCGTGGCCAGCGCGGGGCTCTCTGAATCCGGGCCGCGCTGCAAAGGGGCCGGTTCAGACGACTCTCTAGACCCGCGTCCCGCTCCAGAGCTGGGGAGACGCGAGTCGCAGCCTGATGCAACACGGCCGGTCCCTTTCGGGGGTCTCCATCTTGCTCTCGGGGAGTGGCGGGGAAGGAAGCGGTCCGAAGGGTTTGCACGCGAGGAAACGGGGCCGAAGGCGCCTCTGTGTCCCATCGAGGAGGGGGCCTGAAGGGGTGGAGGGCTGTCCTTGGACCCGGCTGGCGCCCCCGCCCCAGGTCCGGCCACCCTTTCGCTTTCCCGGCGGTTCCCAGAAGCGCCTGCCTGACTCACCCCCATACTCATCTCACCACGGCCTCGGTGCTTGCCCGGAGAGAAAGCCAAAGCCCATTTGGTTGGACGACTTTCGGTTGCAGCCTGAGATGTGCATTCATAAGGACCTCTCTCTCTCTCTCCCTTTTTTGAAAGAAAGTTAGAATTGTCGATAAAAAGGCACCTGCGCTGTAAGTAGCGTCTCCTCTAACCCTTTGAAGCATGGTTCAAGAATTCTGACGGTTTCACAAATGGCTTCCCGCAATAAAAATGTGCCCAGCGGTGTGATAATAAAATTGGTCAGCCTTGCAGGGTTGTCAGAATTAGCTTCCAGGCTCTTGGTTTGGGCTTACTAAGCTGGTCTGCTTCACAGGGCTGTTGTGAGCCACTCACACGCAGGGCCGGCTCCAGGGTTTTTTGCACACTAGGCGAGGCTACCTTCTGGCGCCCCCCCCGCACGCCCACCAATTTTCAAACATAAACTTCTGTTCCTAATTTATACACGGAGTGTTTTTGTATTGATTCATCCACTTGGAGGCGGGCAACCCTAGCAGGGCTGAACCCAAACAGACTTTTTAAAAGAAAAATAATATG